TTATGCTGATAAATTCATATAAATCATTACCATGTACAAATTCTGATATATTTACCAATAAGGAATGGTATTTCTGTATTAAAATCGACACAACTCTCAATAGCCTCATACTAATAGGAAAATAAGGTTTATCTAAAGGTGTAGCTTGTTGCAAAGACGCTGGTACTGAATTACGATACTTGATGTTAGGCGAAAACAATTTTATCACAAGTGCACACACTCTCTCCTTCAATAAGAAGCTAAACTCTAAATGCTAAAAAATTATATTTTTATAAAATATAATTCTTATATATATATAAAATAGAAAGATCCAGTTAAAATATAATTTTCCTATTCTTAAAAATATAAATTTTCTCATTTACTTTAAAGAAAACTGATGAAAAGTTTGTTAAAACCGACTCTAGCAATTCCAAACCAAAAGTTCTTGTCATTTCAGTGATGCCTATTAGCCAATACGGTTGATCAGCATTCACCAATTGTACTAGATCCTAAAACCAAATGTAAACAATGTATACAAATATATACAATTTACACAAAGTAAATCATAATTATATTTTATAAAGTTACATAATTACACAAGTATTATAGTAAATAAAAAACACCTGAAACATTAAATATGCATCTGCAGCGCAAGGACCGAGACCTTTAGGCGCTTGATTCGTTGGAATTTTTAATTCTTCTAAATTTACTTCATCAGATTCTAGCTGATCAGAACTTTGCTCATCTTCGGCAACTACTCTTTCAAATACCAAAGACACTAGTTGTCTTACAGTAGCACCGGCTGTATTTATCGTTGTGCAGTCTTTTGTGAAATGTAACCGAAAACAAAGCACCAAATTCTGGAAAGATGTAATTTTGAGTAGAGTATAATAAAAATGTTATTGAAAAAAAAAAGATAAAACAAAATTTATATACAAATGGATCCTTACTCTTGCCAGAGTATCTCCATGTACCACGGCATTACTTGTAAGTAATAATGTTACAGTCTGCAAAACTTTAACTTCTTCTGTACCTGATTCCATTAACAACCACAAAGCATCTGTAATATATCGGGCACCTTTCTGATCCACTGCTTGTTGCGTTATTAACCTTTGCATCATGCTTAGGCAAAACTAGAAAATATCATAAAAATTTACATAGCACACATTATAAGATTTTTTTTACTAAAGATAATATGTAAACATAGCTTTTCATACCTTGATGATTTTTATGTCCTTACTCTCACAACCTTGAACTATAGGATAAAGTATTTGATTTACAATATAATATATTGGTGTCCCTGGGTTATTTGAGGCTGTTCTTAATTTTGCAATTCCTTCCTCGCATGACTGTAACAAATACATATAATATAGTCACTATAAATTTAAAAAACGAGGATATAGTGTCCCAAATGAGACACTTCTCTGACTAAACTGAAACTTTGCAGGTAATATTCACTGTTAAAAATTAAACTGAAACTTTGCAGGTAATATTCACTGTTAAAAATTTCATGTTTTAATATACTTTTAAGTTACACAATTTGAATTTAATTTCATGACATTATATTAAATTTAATTATTTATAACTGAAAAGTATATTTGTATACATGTACATGAAATATTTCTCATAAAAATTTATAAAATTTAATGTACACGGTCATTACATTTAAGTAACTACTATAACTTAATTTTCAATTAAATTATTCATTATTTTTAATTTTGTTTATAACTATAAACTTCATTTACATGTAAAAAAAAGCTCGTAGTTTCTAACAGTGTTGTTATGATATATAATGATTATTTACGAAGATCCTATCGTCGGGTTTTCTAATTCGCTTCGCGTGTCGGACGCTCCTAGGCAGGGGGGATATGGGAAAAACCTTTACAAAGTCATTACGTAAGAGAGAGTGGGGGACAATTCTTATTGTATGAATAATATGTTATTTTTATTGTATGTAGCAGAAATAATATTATTTTTAAAAAATTTTTGTGAATAACTTTTTAACGAGCGACAGGTGTTGGAAATCACTCAGGATCATGACCTTGACAACATACGCCTAAGTCAAATTCATCAGGGACTGACTCCCTCCATTGGCATATTTATCGTTACGTTATTATATCGGAATAATTAGTACAATTAGAAAAATAATAATAAACGATTCGTTAGGACTGTATAATGTAAAACACAATAAATAAAAAAATAACGTCTATAACGGTCAAAATTGGATCTTACTGCTTTAAATAATTCCCTGTGAATTTATATATCACATTTGTAGTCCTTTAAATTGCGCGTCGAATGGATTTTTCAGACTTGGAAACGCAACTGAACTACTAATATAATAACAATAATCACAAATTAAATTGATAACCAATTTAATAATTTGATGCTCAATTGGCATCATTTAAAATGAGATCTTAATGTATTGAAAATCTGTAAATAAATTTATTGCGAAAAATATTATCTCGGTCGGGAATAAAACCTGGATCTCTAACATTCCGTGAGAGAGCGTCTTAAGCCTTTAGATGACCAAGAGAATATTTGGTAATAACCGATATGTAGGAACGAATTTTTCAGGCAGTGTATAAATAATAATAAACGATTTATTTAGATCGTATAATGTGATATATCACATCATAACATAAATGCGTTGTCGTTTTAATAAATCAAATACACGTTTCGCAACTTCGGAAAAAGATTTATTACGTACTGCTCAAAATTATTCGATGTTACAGAATGAAATGTATATTCAATGAAATCTCTTATTCCAATTGTTCGATTAATATAACTTGCGATATAATGCATAATCTTTTCGAAAGTGTTTGCAGGTAGAAAGATTTTGCAAATATATATTTTCAATATATTTTCAAATAAAAGTATTTTACAATAAAACAACTAAATAACCGAGTTAAATACTTCCATCATAAGTGAGATATTGATAAAGAAAACAAACAAACAAAAGATCTTGATAAAGAGAAAAAAATTTAATGATAACAGTATCAGAAATGTCTGCACTGACCTGTTATTTCACTTTTGTTATAAAAGATCTAATTCCTCATAATAAATAAAGTTTAGAATTTTTATCTTACACTTTTTGAGATTATCCTTAAAACTGTCTCTAAAAATATCTAAAAATATAAGAATTGACTACAAATATCGGCCATATTATCATCTTAAGATCATGAAATAAAAACATACTATAAATATCGATCTATGAATACTAATTAAAAATTAAAGATCGAATACGTGGAAATTGTAAAAATTATCAAAAATAAGTATAAAATATAAAAAGTAACAATAACAGTAATTATTAAATTCATTATAGTTACTATGTTACTGTTACAAAATAAAAAAGTAATATTGTTGCTAGTCTATAAAAAAACAGTAATGGCGTTACAAGTTTCATTCCTAAATACATATACTAAATTTATAAGAATATAAAGGTCCCTATCCTTACCTTTGCACTAGGACCCCGAAAATCTTTTGCATGCCCTGGCAAGTTATATAGTTATATAAATTTCTAACTTGTTTCCGAGTCGTAGCTTAATCTTCAAAGAGAAAAGAGACTTAATCAAGACCTAAATGGAAGCTCCCAGTTTCACGGTCCAACTAATGTAGAACTATGTTCAGAAACTCAAATGCTTCTATATGTCATTTTATTCTTGTTTAACATTCAATGAATAAAAATAAGATGATATATAGAGGTGAGGGAGGTGGTCAGATGGTATTTCTGAACGTAGCCTAGGATATAACAAGTGGTTTCGCGGTTACGTACCTCTTTGATTTGAGGGTACTTCTTCTTGGTCTCCGAAGCAAGTAATTTGAGATCCGACTGAAGGACCTCCAGAAACTTAGAGGCATTCTCCGGATTGCTGCCAACAGCGGCGGCGCTCGCCATCATTGACAATGCCACCGTTGCTCTTGTTTCTCTAGATCAGTACAACTTCCAGATGCGGGGGCATGACAGCTCGATGACAGCTATCGGACTGGAGGCTAAGCGCCACGGTGTTCAATCGTCAGATGATGACCGAATTTCGAATTAACACGCTTTGCCACGCCGCTCGTCGGTGACGATGATAGCGAACAGGCAGCAACGGTCCATCGGAGTCGCCTTCTCGAGTCGTCGTGCTCGCGAATCACATCGGGCGGGTCGTCGCGGAAACCGCGCGCAGACCGCAGCTAACACAACGTTCTTCTCGCTCGTACACCCAATATTCACGCTTCTTTAGATAATGCCAATTCCAATGAAGATCGATACAATAAAAAATTCACGTAGTTACGACCTGGCGCAACTACGTCTCACAACTGCTAACACAATTGACACCAATCAACACACAATTTGACACGATTCGACACAAACTCACAGACCACGTATGCAACAACGCAGCGCTACTGCAGCTTGCATTGTCACCAGTTGTCACTGGTCTAAGTCTAATTTCCATCGAGGAGTAAAGGCATATTTTCACGAACCGCTTACAACCAAACTGGATTGGAGACTCTGGACAATATGGGCACTGAATTATATTAATCAGAAAAAATCTAAGAGAGGACATAAAGGCCCAAAATCTGTAATAATTTTTTCGATAACCTTCATTTATTTATTCTAATTGGTTTTTAATTTAAAAAAAAAATTCAATTTCTAGTCCGTATTCAAAACAATCTTATATGTTTAAAATTCTACAGCATACGTAACGTAAACTATGTACTAAATACGTGTTAACGTCGTAAAAGTGCTCTCTTGCGAATGGGTACAGGTTTCTTTAACCATACAAAACCAACGACTTCAAATTCCGAAAAAGACTGAAATTCCTTGCGCGTAGCATTTATATACCATATTCGAAAGCTAGCGCGGACCAATCAGCATCCGCAGTGATGAGGCATCGCGCTCATTGGCTAGCATGCGAGTGGTGGGGTTCGCCGGTTGACGGCTCCTATAAATACCGCGTAATTCGCGACCGCACGGTTTTGTGACTCGAGCAGCGGACGAGAGTACGTCGTATCATTTTAACGTTGGAACAGTTCGCACTTGTTCGCAGTCCTGTCTTCGAATCGATTGACTTTTCTTCAGATTCTAATCTCTGCTAAATATAAAACTACGTTGGAAAACTTCGCAGCCCTGTCTCCGAATCAACTGTGACTTCCTCCATATTCTAATATTCTGCTGAAAAATGAGACGGAATCTCTTGGAATATAAAACGATGGGAAACTGCACGAAAGGATCATTCATCGTTGGATTTCTTTACTACGGTAATCAATAATTCATTTTTCCTTCACTTCTCGTAACAGTGTAAACATCGCATATTATAAGGTCTAGTATAATACTAGCGCATACTGATTATATTCGCGGTTGAAAGTATGTGACGTCGCGTCGTGTCGCGTCACTTTTTACGCGTGAAGTTAACTGCACACGGAAAACAAACGCCGCTCTCCTATTTCGATCGCATTTTGTTCGCAGTGAGTCTACCTACGTGATCAGACGTGTTATTGCGTCATTATTTTTAGGAAGTGTGACCAGCTTCAAACGCGCATTTGAATTTGTTTTTTAGACTTTCGTATTCTTCATGTTGATTTTTGTTACCGCATATAGCGGCATTTTCAATTCTGTGTTAGAGTCGGGTCATTCTCGCGCGAAGAAGACATTTCATTCGCGAAATGCGGCGGAATGGACTGGCTCTCAGACAAGTGGAAATGCGCGATCAAATAATTAAAATATATATAATACCTGAATATATAACTTGAATATATATTTTCGTATGCGATATTTAACTATCGCGTGCTTCTACTAGACTAGATTCGGTAATCACATTAATAATCCGTTCGAACGCGTATTTCGTAAAACTTGTTCGCCGAAAGTATATTGCTTAAATAATTGATGAGTTTTCCGAATATCTCAATCTGCAATACGAAAATAACAATTATAAAAGAAGAGCGTATATTACAATATACGATTGTCCTTTGTGATTGTTATTTCCGTATTTCGAGCATCAGATATATTTCGAAATACGGAAAATTTATGAACACGACGCCGAGAGCAAGAAATGCAACGTCACAACGTCGCTTCGTTCACGTCGCCTTTGGCACGCGAAGTTAACCGCGCAAAAACAAAACTCGCTTTCTTAATCTTAACAACTACGATTCATTTACACATTTCGATCTGTAAATGAAGCGCAGATATAATTAAGAGATGAGATTGGCATCGATCAAGTGATAATTGAAACTTATATTAAATCTATATTTGTCTTTCATTGCAACACTTAGTTCGCGCAATTATAGATTCAATATTCATTAAGAAAAAGACGCGCATTGCCACCGTGTCGCTCTTGACGTGTAAAATTAATAACGCGAGAGACGACATCACTTCGATATATTTATTACATTTATGTTTTATTTTCAGAATGCGACGAATACGAGATGGTTGGCTCAAAATGAGTGCTGTTGCGATTTATTAAATTGGTAAATAAAATTTATATTAATTTTATATCTAATTATTAAAATATCAAATAATTTCTTGTAATATAGTTTCCGCACTAATATACGAATAATTCGTTTGAACACGTATTTCACAATACTCGTGCGAATAGCATGTCGCGTATAAAGACAACTGTGCAGAAATCTTTCGCCATCTTAGATGCATTCCAACGTCTAAATTTTATTTGTAAAGTATCGCGAGTATCGAACATGACACTCAAATTTCCTGCGTTCTTATTTTTCTGCTATAGTGAATTATGCACACGTCTAATTAATATCAACTATACGAACAAAATATGACATGGTCGCATAATATTTAGGATGCGTTCCGCTTTTACGCTCACACGATGTAAACATTAGTTCATCCTTGTTTATCAAATATCAAACAAGGATAAATGATATCTGTAAGCGCAAAATAAGACGTACCCTTAGCAATTATTTGCAACTGCACTTAATTTTAATAAACTATTTCTTTCAACTGATAGATGCTGTTACAAACAATGGGAAGAGAAGAGAGGTGAAAAGCAGGCTTGACAATTTTGTGAAGAGGAGGAGGCTCAAGAAAAGCAATGGATCAATTTTACAGTAAGTAAACTTATTGCTTACTTACATAAAAAATTAGTCATTTCTTCCCATTAGATTGTTTTATTTCAATAATTAAAAATAATAATTAAAAAAAAGAATTAATCTAAAACATTACGAAAATTTATTTTCATAAAGACAATTTTGAAAAAATATATAATTATTTTAATGGATATATAATTGAAAAACTATTGAAAAATTCAATGTGTATAAAAATCAATTTTTTAATTATTGATTATTTTGAACGCTATTTTAACTTGTATCTTGTATTTGTACGTTACAGAATCATGTAACGTGCACATAGCTGATAACTCCACTGCTGTGCATCAATCGGTCTTCTTTTATTGGTACGCAGTCACCGGTCGCGATCAAGCTATTAGCCAGTTAGTGAAGATGCAGTAAACTATAATGGAGACTTCGCACGGCTCTGTACTACTGAGAGGTTGGGGCATCGGTGAGTGACAAAAATTTTATCAGGTAACGAATCTGTATAAAATGTACAGATCTATCATTATATTAGAAATGAATATAACGCTTTATAGACCCATTACTTGAAAATGAATTAGCTACAAACGATTATGATACATATTTAATCTTGGATTTGTTTATCATTATTTGACAACTTGATTAGCATCTTGATCTGCTATTATGATTGAAACTCATTTATACCCGGAAAATATTTTATATAAAATTATATATAATGACATTAAAAATTGACATATTTTCTATACAATTATATATAATTATTATAAAATATGTCTATAATATATATAATATTTTTTCCCACGTATTCACACAAGTATACATATAAAAAAAGAGAATGAAATAGAATTCAATGATGAATTAGTGCTATAAATTATATAATATTAATAAATCAAGTAAGAATATAAATCTATTTAATTTTATTGAATTATTATTTGATTCACACATATTAGAAATAATTAAATTTTTTAATTTAAAAGAATATTCAACAAAAATTCCTTTCTTTACTAATAATATAAACAAAATATTTATATACAAAACTGCATTTTAATACAAATAAGCTTGATGAATATAAAAAAAAATGATTGAAATTGGTTTTTAAATTAAATTTAATGAAATAAATGATGAAAAAGTAAAGAAAAAATAAAGTTTCATATGAACACAAAATATACATTTTAAAATACAAAGATTCATAGATATTTTATTTTTGAATTAGTATAGGATATTTACATATTCAATATATGTGACATAAAAATAAAGAATATTTTGATACAGCAAAATCTATAATTAAACAAGTTATGTATTCATTTTCCTTAATCCCATTCCCAAATAATTATCCAAGATTAAATATGCTATAAATTGGTGCAGAGAGAGAGAGAGAGAGAGAGAGAATATGTATATTAAAAAATATTTTTTCAATGTGTATAAATGAAAAAATTGTCCTTCTTTACAAGAAAAAAATACAATAATGTTATTACAACGCTTGACTAATCTTATCTTATATCGTATATAAAATGCAATACTACATGTGACTATAAATAATTCTTGAACACACACAGCACCAATTTTAACATATTAGATTGTAGCTTATTCATTTTGTTGATTGACAAAATAAATTTACAACAAATAAAACAAAATAAGTGACATAAAATCCCATAAGTTACTCGTGGAACACAAGAACTTTTCAAATTTTATTAACATTTTTTCCATTAAAAATTTTCTATAAAAAAGATATTTTTATATAACACATTACAACTTGATATAAGTGATATAACAATGATATAAATGCAACTGATAAGGAGTTTATAAGTCACAACGCAGGATTTTATCGCGCAGTATAGATTAAAAATTTGTCATGCATGAATATGTATAAACATATGTATCTAAATATGTATGAATATTCATAAACATATATAATTTTATATGAAATATGTCCATACATGTTCGTACATCTTTTTTTTTTGTAAAATTACTTTTTAGTGTAATAGAAATAATAGTAGTAATGTAAAAATAATTAAAAAGTAATTTTCGCACTATTTGTTTTAGAAACATCAAGTTTGAAGAAATATAAAAAAATTACTTATGTATAATTATATGTAAAATTATGCATAAATTATGTACAAGCATATTTATGTATAATTTTTTTGATATTTTTCCAAACTTTATTCTAAAACAAACATTGCAAAAATGATTCCTTTAATTATTTTTTATGTTTTCACATTACTGTTATTATTTTTATTATACTAAAAAGTAATTTTACAAAAGAAAGAAGGATGTATTGACATGTATGGATATATTTTATATATAATTATACATGTTTATGAATATTTATGCATGTTTATGTATATTCTGTATGAAAGATTCGTTAGTTTTTACCGGATAATTATATTTAATTATACATATATACATAGAGATAATAAATTATAGACGTTTCGGCCAAAACTGGGTCATCTTTACTATGTCAAAATGATAAGACAAAAAGTGCATAATTTAAAGTAATAATGGAGTGTCAATATGATAAAAATATTAAATTAAATAATATTAGCGCGATTAATACAAAGATTCCCATACATAAAACATAAAATTATCTAGTCGCTATAAATACAGTTATTATGTACTGGGTCTATGATGATTCAATTTTGCTATTTCTTATTCGTTGTATCTTTGCAATTAATACAAAAAGAGTTACAAAATTCTGGATTATTTTGTAATTCTTTTTATATTATTTGAATTTTATTGTTAACCGACTTAGCGTTGCGAACTTTTTTATTATTAACTATATTTGTTATAATGAGGTTGACCTAATGAAGGTTGAAACGTTTATATGTGTTATATTCTTATCTACGTTTTAAATATTAAAAATCATTTTAGCAATTGACATCCACCTTTTACTTGTAGCCTACATACAATTTAACTTTTAACTTTGAATAATAAAATATTTATTTAATTTTAAATTACAAAAAGCAATTCTAATTCACCAA